AAGCTTTCTGCCACACCATAGTCTGTTTGACTTTGGAAAACTGCACTTTATAACCTTTTTGGCCTTTATAACTCTCTGTACTCCCTGCATAGCTTCTAGCCTCTCCTGTAAGTACTCAGACACTCCTGGCTGGTTGCTGTGCTTCTTCAGGGTAATGAGCACAGATTCTACCTTCATAAATAGGTTTTGATCTTCGTCATATTCCGAGACTTTCCTGACCTTGAACAGCTTGGACAGGCCAGAAAAAGTCATTCTTTCTCAGCGCCGTGGCATTCTGTTATGATTCTGACACCTTGCCACTTGTTCCTGTGGCTGAATGTTCGCTCCAGAGTGAGTCACGGTGCCTCGTAAGTGATAGGACCCTTCTATGGTAAGCTTTTTGATATGTGGTGTCTCATATTTAAGGCTAATCGTATGGATTAAAAACATCCCTGACACGTGCTCATACCTAAGCAAAAGAATGTTTAACACCATATAGAGTTGATTTCGAATCAATTTAACAATTAATCTTTATTGAGTAGCTTTGAGGGACTATTGATTGCATGGGGAGCAGGCTGTCATCTGTCCTCTACAGGCTCTCCGGTCATCATCCATTGAGATAGCGGGATAACCATCCCTGGCTGACAGTTTCAATAAGAGAGTTGGAACACAAAGGGCTTGTCCTCCTTTTGAAGTTGCTGAACCGTTGGCCCAGTGCTGGAAAGGCCATCGGTGAAAAAGGTCAATGGAAGATAAGTGGCCGTGGGCAGACATGAAATAAGGGACGCCCCCATAAAGGGCAGAAGCTCCGCGTTATATTTACACCTGCCATTCAGCTGGCTGCCCCTCCTCCACGGTGCTGCTGGCTGTGTTCTTCTCGCATTGAAGGAAAGATGCACAGCACTTCCATCATCAATATGACAGTCCGCTCCTCAACTTATTTCTCATGTCCTAAAGTGGAGCAATTTTTTTTTTTTTTTTGTCATCTGTCACTTGTCACCTGTCCTAAGTAATATTAGGAAGCTGCTGGTGTTTCAGCCCAGAATCAGGATAGACATGATGTTCAAAGATCTCTTTGAAATCCTTTGGTTTGTTGTCTGTAAGAGTACCCCCCCCCCCCCCCCCCACTGGATGCCCCACCTTCCAGCTTTTACTTATTTCACATATCTAAATTCCCCCCCCCCTCCCCCATGCTTTTGGCGGCTGTCCAAAGCTGCAGTTAGTGGGGATGTTGGATTCTTCTGGAGAGAGACAGACGAGGCATTCTTTACATTTAATTTATTTAGCTGATGCTTTTTTGCCAAGTGATGTACCACTGAGAGAGCAGGGTCGGCCAGTCCCTGGAGGAATTGAGGGTTTAGTGTTTTTCTCAGTCGCTCAATGGTAAAATCCAATCTTATGATCCTGGGATTTGAACCAGCGACCATCCAATTACATGCACAGTATTCTAATCCTCAAGCTGCCCCCAAAAAGTTTTGTCTGGAATGAGATTTGAACCCACGCCTCCAATCGGAGACCAAAACATCCATTATCTTATGCCCTCCAATGAAGACAACATTTAGTCCACTCATAAATCAGCTATGCTAAATTGCTTCCGGAGTTTTCAAATACACTAACCCTAATTACGCAAATCTTTTGACAACAAAAACAGTGCAGCAACCGGTGCTACGTCTAGGGTGCAGGTCCGAGTCCCTGGATGTGATCTGCTGCTGTATCCTTGAAGTGAGGTTCAGCACTTCAGTTATCTAACTGAGATATCCAGCAGTGTCCTGGATAAAAGCAGCAGTGTGGCAGTTAGGCATCACCTTTTCCACAGTTCCTAGGTGCAGAATTGCTCCAATAATATTTCCAGCTGTCAAAATATATTTTAAAAATGATCCAATTTGACTGTGTCACTCTGCAATTAAATGTAAATGTATTCAGCCATTAACACTGTGCCCACAGCATTTCAAACCTGTCAGTGGCCTATAAGCAGTCATGTGACAGGTCACATGACCTGTCCTTCCTGGCAGTTTCCGTATTGGGTTTTTACCCCTATTTTTTGTTCATGTCACAAATAAAAATACAAAAAAGGAAACCATTGTAGAATGTCAGTATGGAACTCCTTGGATGAGGAGTGGATGGTGTGAGGGGTTCCAGCTCCCCCCCCCCCCCCCCCGAAGGACTGAACATCCTGTAAAGGGCCAGTTAAGGTGAAACACGGATCATATTCTGTGGTTGGACGGCCGGTCACCATGATGCCTCATCAGATGTGCATTTCTTCAGTAAAATCTAATTCTGAAAACCTGTCATTGTCCCTTTAAAAAAAAAAGAAAGAAGTATACTCACTAAAATACATGCAGTTATTTTAAGCAGTGATCAAACTGTGATCACATAAACCTGAAAACCGTGATTAATGCATCTCAATGAGGCCCCAGAGCACAACAAGCGCTTGCTCAGCACCAAAGAACAGCGTCCCCAAGAGTCAGCACATAAAAATCTGACTGCTTCAGTTCTTCAAATAAACCTTTTATCTCCTTTATGACGCCATTTCAAATGAGCTCCTGATGAGCGGCGATGTCAGATTTAAAGATCGTGCTCTGACCTGAGCTTGAGTTACTAGCTGCTACCTTGAGAACTTGCTGAAATTCAGAAGCGTGCTGTTAATCAATTTAATGTGCTCGGTCTATGGAAGAGTCTTTGCACCGTCGTAAACAGGACAGCCGTAGACCTGAGGAGTCCAGGATCGTGCTGAAATCGGTCAAGTGAACTTTTCATTTGCAAACCTCTGCATGCCAAATAATTACTGACAAACACCTGCCTCTGGATCTGAAAATCACAAACCCATATGGCATTCTGGTAAAATAAGGTCCACTGATGTGATTAATAGGCGAATATGACCATTTTTTTTGCTGTCTTTCACCCCCCCATCTGAAAAGATTAACTATCCCAAGGACTGAGACAGAAGAGAGAAGATGAGTTAGAATCTATATCACCCCGAAACACTTTATAATTGCAGTATAAATGCATAAATAATTGTATGTCAATGTCTGGAGGGGGAGGTGATGGTCATCTGTCTAGCTATCACTCTATACCAGTAAGATCAATTAACCAACCATAACAGCTTCCTGGAGACCTTTGTTCACTCTGCACAAGGCGTCCCTTCCAGCCAGTGTACACGGAAGTCTCAGAGGAATCGTTCCACCTCAAATAAAATGACTCTGGCCAAAAAAATGGTTTGAGGCCCAATAAAAAAAATCAAAACAGAAAAAAATTGATGGGGTTGCTAGAGAGCGCAGGAAAGGTGCAGGCAGAGCTGCGGCTGCCGCATCTCGGGGGACGGTGACTGCTGTGCCTCGGCCTAATCAAAGAGAGGAAGGGGCCCTTTGCGGCCCTCTGCACACCGCTGCCGCCTTTACACTTTCACAGCTGCTTGTTTGTACTTAACGCTTCCCCCAAATATTCGGTACCGTAATGTTGTAAGTCCTCGTGAAACCTTCAAAGCCGGACTGGAGGAGGGATACAGCCAGAGAACTACCAGCAGAGAACAGAAGGGAGCTTTGAGGACGGAGTCATTACCGTTGACCTTGATTTGACGCATTTTGTAGACGTGAAAATCGTAAATGGAGACATTTGCTTGACGAGGTTTTCGTCAAAGGAGAAGTAATTCATAAAGCTGCAATGAAAACAGAATTCGTAGGACATGATAATTAGATCATCTAGAGTTACTAAATCGTGGAACGCTCGCTCCATGTTGTAGTGTGAGACATTATTTCACGGGATGATAAATGGCTGGAATTATTTACATGACACCCAATAATGGAGCGGCATCCTATTCATAATTAACAAACAAATTTCCAAAACTCCAGTCCATGGGATACGTTTTTGAGAAAATTTCTGTGGATTTTAAAGAAAGTTCTTCTTTAGATTACAATGAGGATTGAGTGAGTTTTGGTTCCCAATACTGTGACATCATTAGCAGTCTCGTCGTTAAAAAAAACATAAAAAATGGACTGAGTGAGTTTTGGAAATTTGTTCTTCAATTTCACTTTGTCACTATTGACTGTTGACGCGCTGGTTTGATCGCCAGTAACACGTGTGAGACCCCTTACTGAGAGCTTTTTCTTCACACGCCTACCCGTGGCGGTGACACACTTCAGAGTGTGCTAACAGGCTGGAGGCTGTACTGCAGCAGACGAGGAAGAGGAGGAGCAGGGATGAAGGAAGGCTGACCTGCTGGGAGAATGGGCGCCGTTTCCCAGCAATGAGGCTGCTCCTGTCAGCCACATTTCACTTTTTTTGTTGTTGTTGTTGTTTTTTTAGGGCCTGGTCGGCTTTCATCATCCTGACAAACAGTACGCCTCACCTCCACAGCTGCCAGCCAGATTTAATGGGGGGGAAATCGATCATATTTTAGTTGCGAGTGAGAAATTATGTCCCGTGGGGCTTCTTTAGAAGAAAGTTCCAAACCCCTTTCGGAATCTATCAGTGCCTGGTTCTGTAAATATTTGTATACGCTACTGGTATAGAAGAAGCCCCTGGTTTTTCGCTTTCGGGTGTCTTCCCAGCTCTGATTGGTGGTGATCCTGCGTTCATATGCCAAGCGTGCTGTGATTTGCAAACTGAAAATGAAATTGATTAATGGGGGGGGGCTTGCCCTGTTGAGTTCCCTGTTTCCTGTCAAGCGTTGAGCCGACGGCAGAAAGCGAAGTCCCGCTCTTGACAGGTGCCACGACCTCCGTAGCCCGGTGTCCCATGGGCGTCTAATGACGACACCGGCAGAGCAGCGTTGTCACTTGGCTGTCACACTGCAGTCACGTCACAAACCGCCACGCCTGTGTTTATCCATCAGTCCCAGTGTGTCACCCGCGCGTTGCTCTCCTTTTGAGAGGCTTATGGAAGCAGTGAGTCTGTCTGTTGGTTTATTTTTGGACTTACGTGCACTTGACCAGAAGCCAGTGTGACTCTTTGACAGGTTTTTAATTTATTTTTTATTATTTTTTTTTGTCTCTGTGGCTAATTGACTCTCACTCCACATGCAGATCTGGACCTGCGCTACTTCTGGAGCTGGAGCCGCTTTGAAGACTACCTCCTGTTCTGCTTCGTCTTCATGGTGTTCTGTGCCTTCGTCACCTTCCTCTTCCTCGACTCGACGCTGTTCGTGGAGTCCCTGGGCTCACTAGCGCTTCTCTTCGAGGCCATGCTCGGCCTGCCCCAGCTGCTGCAGAACTTCCAGAACCGCTCCACCCGGGGCATGAGGTGAGTCCTGCTTCTAGCTGTGTACCCGAGGTGTGACGACACACGGTGACACCAGAGCACTGCCCTGTAAAGCGTGCCAGTGCTTCCGACTATGGGGAAATTATCATGAAAAGAAAAGGCCTTAACACAATGAATGTGTCCTTTAAGTCCCCGATTTACCTATTAATTATTTCACAGAAGTAATTTTATTATATTCGAAAAGAGACCCAGCTGGCAGCAGGATTACCCTTTGCAATGAGATATCTGGTCCTGTAACACCTTTTACAGTATAATATCCAGTTCTGTAACACCCTTTACAGTATAATATCCAGTTCTGTAACACCCTTTACAGTATGATATCCAGTTCTGTAACACCCTTTACAGTATGATATCCAGTTCTGTAACACATTTTACAGTATGATATCCAGTTCTGTAACACCTTTTACAGTATGATATCCAGTTCTGTAACACCTTTTACAGTATAATATCCAGTTCTGTAACACCTTTTACAGTATAATATCCAGTTCTGTAACACCCTGTACACTAAGACATCCAGTTCTGTAACACCCTTTACAGTATGATATCCAGTTCAGTAACACCTTTTGCAGTAAGATATCCTGTCCTGTAACGCCTTTTACAGGGAGATATCCAGTTCTGTAACACCCTTTACACTAAGACATCCAGTTCTGTAACACCCTTTACACTAAGACATCCAGTTCTGT